CCCCAGGGGCAGGGCAGAGGTGACTGGTGGTAGCACTTGGGGGTACCAGCTCCTATGCCCCTGACAACAGAGTCTAAAGTCACTAAATGGGGCGCCCCAAATGCCCGCTGCCCCTGTGGGTGCCCCTCCCTCTGCAGGCACCACTCGCCCCTGGTGGAGGAGCTGCCCCACCCAGCAGCCAGAGGGGATTTTTTCTATCAATTTTTTTTTAGAGATTTGCAAACTCTGATCAGTTCTGGACTGGTAACATTGTATTCCCATATTTGCATATTCATTTGCATAAATGAATATGCAAATAAAACACTGACAGTCCACCAAAAGTTTGTGAATTAGTTCAGTGGTCCCCGGTTGGGAGCCATTGATTTAAGGCAGCGGTTCCCAACTGCTGGCCCTCAGCCTGGTGCCCGGCCACGGTGGCTCTGGGGTACGCCGCCCAGTGCCTCTCCTCTTGCCATGGCTCTTGCGAGAGGTGTGTCCTGCCCGCCTCTCAGCCAATCAGCTCTGGGCAGGGGCGGGGTCTCCAGGGGCAGGCACTGGGTGACTGGGTGCAGTGGGGCTCTGCGGGGTAGGGGCTGGCACTGGGGGACTGAGGGCGAGAGGCTGGCACTGGAGGGGGTTGGGTGCAGGGGACTCTGGGGTCAGTGGCTGACGCTGGGGGGAGGGGAGGGGTGGTAGTTCCTAATAAATCTATAGTCCTCCCCTCTACAGCATTGTCTCATCCTCGCATTGAGACTCTGAAGCTCTGCCTGCCTACCTGGCCCTGCACGTGGAACTGGAAGCATTTCCGAGAACGCCACCATAGAGATCCTGGATTTCAATCCCTTTCCTAGCAGCCTAAATTTGGCCTCCAGAACCTCTCTCCTACCCTTCCCTATGTCATTGGTACCTACATGCACCACGAGCACCGGCTCCTGCCCAGCACTACACACAAGTCTATCCGGAGGTCTCGAGAGATCCGCAACCTTCGCAGCAGGCAGGCCAGTCACCACACGGTTCTCCCGGTCATCGCACACCCAGCTCTTTGCTTCTAGTGATCGAATCCCCCATTACAAACACCTGCCTTTCCCTCACGACTGGAGTTCCCTCCCCCAGAGAGGTCTCAGTGCGAGGGGATACAGAACATCTGCTGGAAGGAGGGTCCCAACTACGGGATCATTTCCCTCTGCTCCAGATGAACGTTCCCCGAGCCTTTCGCCCTCCCTAACAGCGCAGGGGCTGTGTGTGTGGGGTGGGACAGTTCAACAGCGTCCCGGAAAGCCTCAGCTACGTCCCTCTCGGCCTCCCTTAGCTCCTCCACTTCAGCCAGCCTGGCCTCCAAAGCCCGGACGTGGGCTGAGGGCCAGGAGCTGCTTGCATCGAATGCGTGTATGCCAGCTGTCCACCAGGCAGGTAACCGGACACGCTGCATTGGGTGCAATAAAGCAGACAGCCCCCACTCTGCGGCTGGGCTTCTGCCTGCTCTCTCCTATACAGGATGAGATTCTTGCTAGGGTTTATTTCAATCCGGTAGAATTCGGTTTAGTTTAAAAGCAGTTTTACAGGTTGCCCAGTGTCCGAGCCCCCCTCCAACGCCCCCAGAATCCCTCACAAAACGCCCTGGGAGCCGCTTCTCTTCGCTAAGCCCCCTGGTCGCTCACTAGCAGGCTTTGTAGCGCTCTGGCTTGCCCGATACCCCCACCCGCTGGTCCAGCCCTCTGCACTCAAGGCAGGACAATGTAAGAACTAGACATTCCTGACAAGTGTCTGTCCAACTTCCTTTTTAAAGCCTCCAATGACAGATTCCACAATTTGTGGCAATTTATTCCAGTGCAGTGGGGGGCTGTCTGCTCTGTATCCCGGGGTCCCCCCGCGCGGTGAGGTGCGATTCCCACAGACTCACCCATATGTGGTGCTGCAGTGTCAGTACCTTGTTGGGCGGTGGGGACCCCACTGGCGGTATCTGTAGCACGGCCCAGCAAGAGGGGCCTCAGGACAGTGGCCAGACTGGTTCTACTTGTTAAGGCAAGAGGGACAAAGGGACGTATGTGCTGGGGGAAGGGGCAGTCTGGGCCTGGAATCATGGAGGAACCAGTCTAAGGAGGGGTTGGAACCCAGGGGCTCAGGGACCCATCTCAAGGGGGCTGAAGTATCCTGGCCCAGACCCCTGTAACCACTTCACGTCGGTGCTGTGCTGTATCCTGGAGAAGCAATAAACCCCTTGTATTCTACCGGCTGGCGGGGTCTGTTCTTGCTGCTACGGGGGTGCAGGATCGGGGGGACCCCAACTCACTGTCACACCCTGACAGACAGGAAGTTTTCCCTAGTGTTCAACCTAAACCGCCTCTGTAGCAATTTAAGCCCATTGCTTCTTGTTCTAGCGTACGAGAGAGAATAATTTTTCCCTCCTTGTAACGATTTTTATGTACTTGAAAGCTGCTATCATGTCCCCTCTCAGTCTCCTCTTTTCCACACTAAACAAACCCAGTTTTTTCTATCTTCCCTCATAGCTCATGTTTTCTAGCCCTTTATTTCTGTTGCTCTTCTCTGGACTCTCCCCAATCTGTCTGCATCCTTCCTGAAACATGGCCTCCAGAACTGGACCAAGACTCCAGCTGAGGCTAATCAGCGCAGAGTGGAGGAGAAGAACTGGGGCTGGACTCAGCCTCCTGAGGCCTCTTCCAGCCCTAGGGTTCTAGGAAGAATTACTTGCAAATATGCGCCGCAAGAGGTCTGCATTGCTTTCTGTATTGGCACTGCCGACCCATTTAGCTTGAGATCTACTATGACCTAGAGATGCTACAAAGCGGGTTTTTATAAACGTGTAACCTCTGAAATTTTCAGCAAATACAGAGGAAAAATTGGAAAAAAAAGGAAAAGAAAATTAATGGAGATTGCCTATCTCCTAGAACTGGAAGGGACCTTGAAAGGTCATTGAGTCCAGTCCCCTGCGTACACAGCAGGACCAAGTACCATCCCTAATGAATTTTTGCCCCAAATCCCTAAATGGCCTCCACAAGGATTGAACTCACAACCCTGGGTTTAGTAGGCCAATGCTCAAACCACTGAGCTATCCCTCCCCCCTGAGGCAGCAGCACGAGGTGCAGGGAGGGGTTGCATATAACCATGAATCACAGAACACTAGGACTGGAAGGGACCTCGAGAGGTCATCAAGTCCAGTCCCCTGGCCCCATGGCAGGACCCAGTACTGTCTAGACCAGGCATGTCCAAAGTCCGGCCCGCGGGCCAATTGCGGCCCGTGTTCCGGTTTAATACGGCCCCTGCTTCCTCCCCCTCTCCTGGCTCCCCGGCGCTCTTTTGAACTGGCGCGCCCAGCGCCCCGCTTCCGGCCACGCCGCCGCCGCCGCCCATGGCCTCCACGGTCCTAGAGCCTGCCCTGTAGGGCACGTCCGCAGCCCCGCTCTCCCGCTCGGCTGCGGGTTCACCCTGCCCCCGGGCCACCGTGAGGCCGGCGTGCCCTGCGCTCTCCGCCCGCCTCCGACCCCGCGGGCCCTCCGCCTTGGGGCTGAGAGTGCAGGGACGGCCCTCACGCATGTTCACTTCTTCAAATCTGGCCCCCTTTGAAAAAAGTTTGGACACCCCTGTTCTAGAGCTTGAAGAGCCTTGCACAGTTGATTCAAGGCGTTCCTGCTCGAGCCGGAGCAGTGATGGAGTGCAAATCAGCAGTGATCTGACAGTAAAAGAATGTAGTGGCACATCAAGTACCCCCTGATCCTGCACCCCGTCTGCAGCAAGATGAGACTCTGCCAACCAGCCGTATAGAAAGGGTTTATTGCGCCTCCAGGATACAGCCCAGCATAGACGGGATGCTGTTTCAGGAGGCAGGACCAGGAGGCCTCACACCCCTTGGATTAGGAGGTCCATTATCATCACAAGATCATTTTCAGTGAAGGTTAACCAATGAGCCAGACTCAGTTAACTGTTTAACTGGGTATCCTGACACATCTCTACTCTGACCTCCAGAACTTTCGGCAGTACTCCTTCCCAGGCATACTGTGTGCAACCGATTGTTCCTCCTAAGCGGAGTCCTTTGCATTTGTCCTTATTGAATTTCAGCCCATTTACCTCAAACCACTTCCCCAGTTCGTCCAGCTCGTGTGAATAACCACTCGCCCTCCAATGCGCTCGCAACCCCTTTCTGACTGGGGTAGCCACAAACTTTGTACGTTTTTATAAAGGCTCCAGAGGCAATAGTGGGACAAGAGGGAAGGTCTACTCACTGGGTCCTATTGTTTTATAACCAGTTACCATCAGTGATTTGATTTACTTCCAGAAATAGCGATGGAAATACTAACCACCAATCGCTGCAGAATTCCATCGGAAACACCCCATTCGACGATTATTTCCCCCATCAACAACCTCTGACACAGATCACCCAGTTCTTGGCCCATGAACGTAGGTTCTATGAAAACTGCATAGGGCTAAGTTTTCAAATCAGAATGCTGCTGATACAAAGTCCAGTATCTTACACCCACACAGTTACCTTTCTCAACCACACTGGTTAAACCTGAGTTCAGCCTTTGAGAGGACAAGACCTAGTCCCTAGAAAACTAGGTTGACAGACATTGTATTCCTAATCCCAATGGCAACTAGCCTACAGTCACCTGGGTCAGCCCGCTGCCCTCTTGGAATACTGGCAGATAAGCATTCCACAAGTCTCCTGGAATTTCCCCAGTATTCCCAGGCTTACCGAAAATGACCAGCGCTCAGAGATCCCTCAGCCAACTTTTTGGTGCAAGCTCGCTAGGCCTGCTGGACTTTCACTGGTCGATGTTTAACACTCGCCTCTGTTACAAATGGACTGGAAAGTAGTAAGTCAGCCTCATGCAACCCACCCACATAGCCCCAGCCCAGAACTGAATTACAGCAATGGTGGACCCCTGAGCCAAACCTAAAGGAAGTATTCAAATGCACTTCCAGCCACTGCTGGGGAATAGCAGGCTGCGTAAGGCCTCTGAAGTCAGAGACCAGAGCAGATGAGCAGCACAAAAGGAAAAGCTCACCTTGGCCTCCAGGGTACATACAGCGAAAGGCCCGGCCAAGCTCTTCCGCTTGGACCCTTCCTGCTGGGGTCAGCTCTCCACCCCATTTCAACACCAGGAGCAGCGATGGGGAGGACTCCTTACGGGCATCTAGACAGACCAACAGGCAGTCACCATGCTGTGAAGCAGGGTGCAAGCTCCAGACACCAGGGGCAGAGGAGTCTCAGCATGGCCTGGATCAATGAGATTCTAATGACCTCACTGAGCACATGCCTAGAGGACGTGGATTTGGGGAACATGGGTCAAGTCTCCAGCTCTAATGACAGAAGTCCAAGACATGCCTGAAGCGAGTGAGCCCCACCCTCCCAAGGGATGGGGTGCGGGTCCCAGCCTGTGAAGGTGCCAAGCACTCTGGGGGCAGCTCCAGAGTGGCAGAGGAAGGTGCATTCTGGCCAGTGCTCTGCCTTGGCTCCCCCCATGCCAAAAATGCCGGCCATGCTGGGTGACAAAGCAACACGCAGGTAAGGAGCTCCAGGGATCAGAACCAGCCTGAGGAGGAGCGTAGGGGAGGGGATGTTTCTAACCTTCATCCTCACTGGAAGCTTTCGGGTGTCCATGAGGCAGGTAGGTCAGCTGCACCTTGCGGTTAATGCCAGAGAAATGGCCGTACCTGTCAAAGGGAGAGACATCAACACCTGCCCCAGAGTGGGCAGAGCCACTCCAGCTCCCTGCAATGTCCTGACAGTCCTTGGACTGGCTCATTCCCTGAGCACCACCATGTGGCCAAGTTAAACATTGGTGCTCTACAGCTGTGACCCGGCAGCAAAGCTGCCTGCTGCCTCGCTTAGCAAACTGGCCTGAAAGCAGACACGCGGGAGTGAGTGTCCAGAGGGCTTCAGTCTCTGTCTTCGACAGATGAACACGGGCCCTAGTTCCGCCTTCTGGGCCCAAGCAAGGGGAGACCCGCTCTACTTGGGAGACCTAGTGACTTCAGATTCATTCACTTATCAAAGAGTGGATGGAGTTTCCTGCCCACTCTTGCTGCATTTCAAGGCGGCTGAGTGGAGGCTGCTTGAGTCCCCCCAGCCCCGTGCTCCCCACGGCCCTGCTCTTGCTGCATTTCAAGGCAGAAGCGCCACCAGTTCCCTGTAGCACCCCTGTCCCAGCACCGGCTCCTGCTCCCCTCCGATGGAGGCAGCGGGGGGGGGCGGGAGCGACTAGTCGAGTCCCTAATCGACTATCTGATATGCACTTGCTTATCGGAAGTCGACTCGTCACTCACAGGACCCCAAATTAGAGTGCCCCGCCCCGCCCCGCCCGCCACTCTGCAAGGCCAGACAGGTGCTGGATTCTCAAGGCCCACAGTAAGGTGTCCCCATGTTCCTGCTGCTGCATTTCACGTGCAGCTCTCTGGAGCACAGGACATACGCACACAAGAGAGGCGTTTCCCTTTCTCCCCAGCGCTAGGGCAGGCACCAGCCTCTCCACACCATGCTCGGTGCCCAGAACTCAGAGCCCGGCTGCTGCCCCTCCGCTCCCTGCAGCCACCAGGAGTGCGCAGCCCAGCAGCTCCCCTTGGTAGCTGCACTGTTATCCTCGGGGCACCTCGCTCCTACTCACATCTCCAGGACGGTTTTGAGCTGCTCCAGTTTGGCTCTCCTCTCTTCGATCTCGGCGTCACGGCGAGCGCCCAGCTCCACCACCAGCAGGCGCGCAATGTCCAGCACCTCCTGTCAGGGGTAACAGGCATGTGCCATGCGTGTGCACCCACCCCCCTCCTCCAGGAGGCCAGGGAGCACGGGCCCTCCGACAGACAGCACCTCGCTCTGTGGCCACTCACGCAGCACGGAAACGCCTCCTCCCACTCACTCTCCACAGCCCAGCTTTAGCTGGGATGAATTAGGGCCACTCTTGGTTTCTCACCCCCAGGGTACAGCTCTGACCTGCGCAGGAGCACACACGAGCCTTCTCGAACGCGGAGGCACTCCCCCCCAGGACAGCTGCACACGACTGGTCCCATACAGCTAGGCTCTCGCCTGGGAGCAGTTCCTGCTGGGAGCCCCCCCCCCGGCCCCTGCCCCTGCCCCTGCCCCTGCACAGCTTTCACTGCCATCAGGTCACCCGGGAGCTCTCCCCTCACCTGCAGCTGCTCCGGCCTCTTCAGCTTCAGCTTCCCCGTCTTGTAGCCATCGTATTTCTCAAACAAGTCAAAGAACCTGAGAAGACAGACCCAGTCTGATTTCCGGCTCGGCCTATGCCCGGAGGGGGGTCGTCCCTACATGCCCTGCTGCGCCGGTCTTCAGGGAGAGCCAGCATGTCCGCAGGCTCACCCCCGCCCGAGCTCCCAGGGAACAGCCGGAGGAGAAGGAAAGAGCAGCCAATGGTTTCTCTCCTGGCCGGGCCCTCCCCTTTCAGATCTGGTACTTGCAGGAGCTGCTCTCAGTGCTTGCATAGGAGAGTGAGCTGCCTGGGGAGGCCGGAGCAAAAGGGATTCGCTCTGACCGGAGCCAAGGAAAGCGCCTCTTCCCATGCACAGCCCACGACCGCAGCAGCTAGGCCCTCTTCCTAGCATGTCCCTGGAATACAAGAGGCCATCCCCCTTCTGCTGCACCCAGTACCTGGAGTGTTTCACCTCCATCTTCATCTTCTGCTTGGGGGTGCGGTCTCCATGCCGTATCACTGCAATAACGCAGCGCAGCTCCATCCTGGGGTGGGGAAAGCCAAAGAGCACCCGCCGTCAGGAGACGGCGCCTTTCCACGTACTCCTCTCTCACCCCGAGACAGAGCCCCTTCCCACGGAAACCCTCCATAGCCCAAAAAACGGAGATTTGTTCAAGTGCATCAGAAGCAGGAAGCTGCTAAACAGCCAGGGGGCCTGGACGATTGAGATGCCAAAGGAGCACTCGAAGAGAAGCTAACTGAATTCTGGCTTCCATCTTCGAAGCAAAGAGGACGTGAGGGAGATTCCCAAACCTGAGCCATTCTTCGTAGGTGACAGATCTGAGGAATTCTCCCAGATTGAGGTGCCATTAGAGGAGGTTTTAGAACAAACTGATACATTTAACAGTAACAAGTCACTGAGACCAGATGCGTTCCCCCAAGAGTTGTGGAAGTGCATAACTACTCACTGTGGTTTGTAACCGGTCCTTTAAATCAGCTTCTCCACCAAACAGGGATGGGAAAGCATCACGGTGCACACAGCTAACCAAGGGGTCTGGGCTCATCAGTTAACCTTCACTGTTAGACGCAGGCTCCAGTATGCACAGGGAACCAGCTTAAAAGCAGGCTCCCAGCGAGCCCCCTGCCCTGGCTCCAGAGGGAGCAGCGGGGGCCAGCATGCATGGAGAGCAAGCTTCGCACGCACCTCTGCTCTCAGGGAACTGACCTCCTCCTCCTGCATGTAACTTACTAAATTAACCACATTTTAACATTCAAGAGCCCTAGACTGGAGGAGAGCTAATGTGATACCAATTTTTTAAAAGGGCTCTAGAGGTGATCCTGGAAATTATAGGCCAATATACCTAACTTCAGTACTGGGCAAACTGGTTGAAACTATAAAATCAACGATTTGTGGGGGAAGGGTCAACATGGTTTCTGTAAAGGGAAATCGTACCTCACCAATCTACTAGATTACTTTCAGGAGGTCAAAAACACGTGGTCAAGGGGGATCCAGTGGATATAGTGTACTTAGATTTCCAGAAAGCCTTTGGCGAGGGATTTTGTCAAATGCTCTTAAGCAAATCAAACTGTCATGGGAGAAGAGAGAAGGTCCTTCCATGGACTGATAATTGATTAAAAGACAGGTCAGTTTTCAGAATGGAGAGAGGTAACTAGTGGTGTCCCCCAGGGGTCTGAACTGGGACCCACCCTACTCAATATTCATAAATGATCTAGAGAAAGGGGTAAACAGTGAAGTGGCAAAACTTGCAGACAATGCTCAACTGAGTTAAGTCCAAAGCAGACTGAAGAACTTCAAAAGGATCTCACAAAACTGGGTGATTGGGCAACAAAATGGCAGATGAATTTTCACATTGACAAATGCAAAGTAATGCACATTGGAAAACAGAATCCCAAATATACATACGAAATAATGGGGACCAAATCAGCTGTTACCACTCAAGAAAAACCTTTTGCAGTCACTGTGGACAATTCTCTGAAAACATGCACTCAAGGTGCAGCACAGTGAAAAAACCAAACAATGGTAAGAATCATTAAAAAGGAGAGAGAATTAAACAGACCACGCCCACATCTTGAATACTGCGTACAGATGTGGTCGCCTCATCTCAAAAGATATATTGGCATTGCAAAAGGTTCAGAAAAGGGCAACAAAAATTATTGGAGGTTTGGAACGGGTCCCATATGAAGAGTGATTAAAAAGACTGGGACTTTTCCACTTAGAAAAGAGGAGACTAAGGGGGTATATGATAGAGGACTACAAAATTTTTTGTTTCTGTCTTCACCAAGAAGTCTGATGATGAAGGAATGCCTGACATAGGGAATGCTAGGGGGAAGGGGTAGGTTTAGAAGATAAAATAAAAAAAGATCAAGTTAAAAATTACTTAGAAAAGTTAGATGTCTGCAAGTCACCTGGGCCTGATGAAATGCATCCTAGACTACTCAAGGAGCTGATAGAGGAGGTATCTGAGCCTCTAGCCATCATCTTTGAAAATTCATGGAAGTTGGGAGAGATTCCAGAAGATTGGAAAAGGACAAATCTAGGGCCCATCTATAAGAAGAGAAAGAAGAACAACCCAGGAAACTACAGACCAGGCAGTTTAACTTCTGTGCCAGGAAAGATAATGGAGCAAGTAGTTAAGGAATTCACCTGTAAATACCTGGAAGATAATAAGGTGACAGGGAACAGTCAGCATGGATTTGTAAAGAACAAATCATGTCAAACCAATCTGATAGCTTTCTTTGATAGGATAATGAGTCTTGTGGATAAGGGAGAAGCGGTGGACGTGGTATAGCTAGACTTTAGTAAGGCATTTGATATGGTCTCGCATGACCTTCTCAAAAAACCAGGCAAATGCAACTTAGATGGGACTATTCTAAGGTGGATGCATAACTGGCTGGATAACCGTTCCCAGAGAATAGTTATTAATGGTTCACAATCCTGCTGGAAGGGCAGAACAAGTGGGGTTCCACAGGGGTCTGTTTTGGGATGGGTTCTGTTCAATATCTTCATCAACGATTTAGATATTGGCATAGAACATTCAACAGCTTGATGTCTGGTTGGTGGTCGGTTTCAAGCAGAGTGCCCCAAGGATCAGTTCTAGGGCTGGCTTTCTTCAACATCTTTATGAATGATCTGGATGAGGGGATGGATTGCACCCTCAACAACTTTGCAGATGACACTAAGCTGGGGGGAGAGGAAGATACACTGGAGGGCAGGGACAGGGTCCAGAGTGACCTAGACAGATTAGAGCATGGGTTCCCAAACTGGCGGGGGGGGGTGTGAAGAAATTCCAGAGGGGGCACGAGGCAACCCAGTCCCCCTGTCAATTCCCCCCTCCCCCCAAGCTGTTTTTTGGTCCCGGTCAGGTCTTTTTTTTTTTTTTGGTCCAAACACTTTTT